GCCCCGGGGGCTTGGCGGCTGCTGCTGGTTCCTCTGGCGTTTCTCCTTCCCCAGCCCTGTCCTGGTCTCTGTAACCGCTGCGAAATGCCCAGAGAAGCTGCTCCCCGCGTGGGGGGGGAGCGATGCTTTGAGCGTGAGGGGTCAGTGTCAGAAGTAGAGCAGGGGGTGGGTGGGCAGGGTAAGAACACACCCCCCCTGTGGGGGGTGGGAGAGGAGCCGGGATGTGGGCTTGGGTTGGTTGTGTTGGCTCCCTGGTGGTGCTGGTTCCTCTGGTGGGTGCTGAGCACCAGCCCTGCCCTGGGCTCTTCTGGGCTGTGCAGCTTCACTGGGTGCTGTCCTTGCTCCCCGTGTCCCCCGTTGCAGGGAGGGGGTTTCTCTGTCAGCCTGCACAGGTTGCTCCAGGTCTTGAAATCCAGGAGTGAAAAGCAGCAGGGGAAGGACAGGAGGAGCTGTCAGTGAGGTGGGAAGGGCTGCCCTGCCCTGCCCTGCCCTCTGAGGGGCTGCCCCAGCTCCCCTCAGCTGGAAGGGGAGTTGCCCTGATAGGGACCTTTCTGGTGAGGTGCAAATTGAAAAGGAAATGATACTCAGTGAAGAGCTGCAGGTGGGAGCCCCTGCTGAGAACAAGTTCCTTCCCAGCCCTGGGCTGATGACTCCTAAAATCCTTCAGACTGTTGGTTCTTCAAATGAAATGTGATGTTTCTCTTTCTCTAGGATCTGTCAAGATTGAGTGGGGAGCAAAGTCACGATGAAGAACCAAGGCGGGGAGACCAAAGCTGCCCCCCAGGCTGGTGGCTCCTCCAAACCAAGCAGTGGGCTGGGGCTGGAGGAGGGAGACTCACCAGAAGCTGCTGCACCCCTGGAAGGTGGGGGGTCCCTGGGCTTGGGTTAGTGGCAGTTCTGAAAGCCTGAGCAGCAAGGCAGGGGGGCTGTTGTGTCTTCTGGATGAGGACAGGCCACTGTGTCCAGCTCTTTTTACTTCTCTAGGAGCAGCTGTGATTTGGGGAGCAGAAAATCCTCGTTTCTTCCCATCTCTGAATGTGTTTGGTTCTGTACCCCTTGCTGAGAAAAGCCTGGAGTTGGTTCTCAGCTGAAAATGAGGGGTTGGTTGTTGTTGCTTAAAGCTTGAGGGTTCAGAAAAGATCAGACAACTCTTTCCTTGGGGCAGCCTTGAGTGACCTGCCTTGGAACTGCTTAAAAATTGTTCTCTGGAAGACAAAAACCAGGTCTGATCGAGTAGGTGCTGGGTTAAAATTCCCCCTGTCTTTGTCCTGCTGCCTGATAGATGTGGGATGTAGGAAATGCAGGCTGAGTGAGAGTTCATTTAATAACCAACTGCTGTGAGTCTCTTGTTTGGAGGAACTTTGGAAGGAAGGCTGAATGTTACCTGCTCTTCCCCTAAGTGGGACATGTTTCCATGTTGAGGAGAAGATCCATTTGATCCAAGAGATCACAGCTGCTCTTAGAGGAGAGAGGCCAGCTCTGGGTTTAAAACCCTTCAGGGCTGGTTTAGATTGGACATTAGAAGCAACTTCTTCACTGAAAGGGTAAATAAACACTGGCACAGGCTGCCCAGGGAGGTGGTTGGTTCGTCATCCCTGGAGGTGTTTAGAAGCCATGTAGGTGTGGTACTGAGGGACATGGGTTAGCTCTGGGCTTGGTGGAGCTGGGTTAGGGTTGGTGGAGCTGGGTTATGGTCGGACTTGATCTTAAAGGTCTTTTGCAACCAGAAAGACTCTGTGAAAAACCTATTGTCATGTAAAGCAGGCTGGCTGGGGGATGTTTGCTGCCTGGTCCCCAGGGGGAAAGCTCCAGCATAACCTGCTTCTGCTGAAGGGGAGAGGAGGGGGGGGATGTTTTGCTCTTGACAGATGTCAGGGGCTTGGTCGTGCTCTGGTGATCAAAAGAGCTGGGATGAAGGCACCTCCCTTGTGGGGGCAGCTGCTGGAGACACGGCCAGAACAAAGAGCTTGTGTTGCTGCAAGTTTAGCCGTGGGGGGCTCGGGAACCCCTCCCTTTGCCGGGGGTTGATGGAGACCAGTGGCTGGGGGGGAAGGCTGACGTTTCTGTGTCCCCCTCACCCACAGCTCCCCTGGCCCCCGAGGACACCAAGTCCTCCCGGCCCGTGCGTGACGTCTCAGAGGAGCTCAGCAGGCAGCTGGAGGACATCCTCAACACCTACTGTGTGGATGCCAGCCAGGAGGCCCCGGGGGAGGACGGGGGGCAGGGGGAGCCCGAGGAGCCCGAGAAGGGAGGCAGCGAATCCCCCAGGAACGGGGAGCAAGAACCAGGTCCTGAGATGAATGGGGAGAAGGAGAACACCAAGGGGACTGAGGAATTCCGGCCTGAGGAGTGTGGGGAGCGGGACCAGAAGAAGGTTCAGGAGAAGAAGAAAGCCAAGGGCCTGGGTAAGAGGTTCCCTGCTCTGGTTGTGCTGCCAGCCTGAGGGCTCCAGTGTGGGCACTGATTTTATTCTGCACTAATTGCCCTCAGTGAAATGACTGCCTGGGGTGCCTGATGTGTGTGGGAATGATGCAGTGTCCTGTTCTTGGCTGTGTGAGGAGACATCCTTGTGCTGCAGAGGCACTGGCTGCTCCAGGGAGCTGCTGCTGCAGCCTCTGGACTCAGTGGATTTTTCTGCTGGACACAGAAACCAGCCTAGTGGGGGTTTCCCCCTCAGAAAACCAGCTCTGTCCCCAGCTGCTTCACCCACTGTACCTGGTGGAACCTGTGGGGCAGAGCCCTGGGAACACACTGGTGATGGCAGCTCTGACCCAGGGCAGGCATGGCTGGGAGACCTGGTCTGTCTCCTCCTGTCCTTGCCCTTACGAGCCAGAACTCTGTGTAAGGGATTTTTTTACTGGGTTTATTTATTTATTTTTAACTCAGTGTCTCATTCCAGGCAAAGAAATCACTTTGCTGATGCAGACCCTGAACACCCTGAGCACACCAGAGGAGAAACTAGCAGCGCTGTGCAAGAAATACGCTGAGCTGGTGAGTGGCTGTTCCTGCATCCCAGGGGCTGGGGGAGGACCCTGCAGCTGGAGCTGCTGGGGGGGGCAGAAGGTGGCTGGGGGTTCTTTTCTTTCCTTGATGTCAAGTGGGACAATCCAGGAACACATTTGTAGCTTTGCTGTGTATGTTGTGGGATCTCTGTGGTGCTGGGTCTCCAAATATCAGAGGACAGAGGTTGCTTGGTCCAGCCGGGTGGTGTTGTTGGCAGAAATGCAAGCAGGGACAGGAGTGTTTTTGGCAAATCTGTAAGGGACTTCAGGCCTCTCTCTGCTCCTGTAACGTGGAAGCTGCATCTGTTGCCCATGGGTGTCTCCTGCCTGCACTGTTGATCAGAAGCCCTTGTTGGGCAGAGCCACCACGCTGCCTCCAGCCCTACAGCCACACAGGCCACAGTTAAAAGTCTTTCAGATTCCAACAGGATGGGAATTCAGGAAGGAGAAATGGGACCTTGGGCTCTGCATCAGTCCTGCTCTGCTCCAGGTGGCACCTTTTGTGTCACAAAGCTCTTGTCCTCCTCACAGAGAAGCCCCTCTTCAACCCCCCTGCTCCCCCATGGGGGCACAGCATGTTGTCCTGCTCTGCCTGGCTGCATCTGTGCCCTTTGCTCCCCTCTCCTAGTTGGAAGAGCACCGGAACTCCCAGAAACAGATGAAGATCTTGCAGAAGAAGCAGACCCAGCTGGTGCAGGAGAAGGACCACCTGCAGAGTGAGCACAGCAAGGCCATCCTGGCCCGCAGCAAACTGGAGAGCCTGTGCCGCGAGCTCCAGAGGCACAACCGCACCCTCAAGGCAAGTGTCTCCTGGGCATGACTCCAGGAGCTGCTTCATCCCACTTGGATCCCTTTGCTGGGAGCCATCTTGGCAAGCTCACCTTTACCAATCATAGAAAAACAGGGCAGTTTGTTTTGGGTGTTTAATGCTCTGAGTATGTTGTGTGATGAGGTCACTTCTCACCTTCAGGCAACATTCAAGTTATTCCAAGTTGCTTTTCAAATGATGGAATTAATTCTCCTCCTCTCCAGCTTGTATTGAAAACATCAGAGTTTCTGGTTCATCAGTCCTTTTAAGAAATCACCCCACATACTGACAAGGGGTTATAGTCAATGTGGTCTCTTTGGTTCATAGACCTGTTGGAGCAGCCAGCTGAATACCCAGGAAGCACAGACTGTCAGTTCCTTGTCTTGAACTTCCTCATATAGAGAATATACAGGACAATGACAGGGAGAGGTTTGGAGTTCTCCTCATAGTCTTGGCCTGATTTAACAGGGCTTTGTGCACCTTGTCAGATGAAACACCTGTTTGTAGCTTCATGTCTCTTTGTGGCTTCTTCATTGCCCATGGTGACAGAGATTGACCACAGGCTGCCACCCAGGGCAGGGCTTTAATTTTGCTGTTAAATGATCATTATCATCATCTCTTGGTGCTTTGGGTTGGAAGGACCTTAAAAGATCATCTAGACCCACCCTCCTGCATGGGCAGGGACACCTCCCACCAGCCCAGGCTGCTCCAAGCCCCATCCAACCTGCCCTTCAACACTGCCAGGGATGGGGCAGCCACAGCTTCCCTGGGCAACCTGGGCCAGGCTCTCACCACCCTCACACCCAAGAATTTCCTCCTCATGTCCAACCTCAATCTCCCCTCAAGTTTTAATCCATCCCCCCTTGTCCTCTCACTACACAGCCTGGTAAAAAGTCCCTGCCCAGCTTTCCTGTAGTGCCCCAGTGTCATTCCAGGGCCCATTCAGTGGGAAAAGGGAGGGGAGAGGAGCAGCAGAGGGCTGATGTCTCCCCACGCAGGAGGAGGGCGTCCAGCGCGCGCGGGAGGAGGAGGAGAAGCGGAAGGAGGTGACATCCCACTTCCAGCTGACACTGAATGACATCCAGCTCCAGATGGAGCAGCACAATGAGAAGAACTCCAAGCTGCGCCAGGAGAACATGGAGCTGGCAGAGAGGCTCAAGAAGCTGATCGAGCAGTACGAGCTGCGGGAGGAGGTGGGTCAGGGTGGGGGACCTGGAGGAGGGGGCTGCTCTGCCCCCTGTTTCTGCTGCCAGGGGGGAGAAGGGGCCTCTGGGATCTTCCCGTGGGATCAGCAGGAGCAGGCTGAGCCTGGCAGTGACTGGGGGTGTTCCCTTGGCAGCACATCGACAAGGTGTTCAAACACAAGGACCTGCAGCAGCAGCTGGTGGATGCCAAGCTCCAGCAGGCACAGGAGATGCTGAAGGAGGCAGAGGAGAGACACCAGCGGGAGAAGGACTTTGTAAGTCTCACAGTGACACTCTAAGGGCTGCAGGAACTTTGCTTTGAGCCTCTTCCCTCTCTGGAGGTTTGTTATGAGTGGATCCCTGAGTGCAGAGGGATCAGGCCATCCCGGACCTGCTCTGTGCCCAGCAGTGACAGCAACACTAGGGGCTTCAGGAGCCAGGCTGGAGCCCTGCTCTGCTCTTGGGGTCCTGCTCCCCATGCCAGGCCAAGCACCAGGGGGTGTCAGGAGCCTTCCCTGCTGACAGCCAAGTAACTGCTGTTGCTCTTCCCCAGCTGCTGAAGGAAGCTGTGGAATCACAGAGGATGTGTGAGCTGATGAAGCAGCAGGAGATCCATCTCAAGCAGCAGGTGAGTTGATCAGTCTCTGCTCAGCCTGGTTGTTTTGTTTTCTTCCTCCTCCCTCAGTGGGAACAACCCTGAGTTCCTTAATGTGGAAAACTCAGGAGCAGGATTGCTCCTGGGTTTGGTATTGATGGGTCTGTGTCAGGATGGTGGGAGCTGAGACTTCCTCAGCAATTCCACCTTCTGGGAGAAACAGGCCTTGGTTTTCACCAGCACATTTCCCCCTGCTGGGAGCAGTTGTGTGATCATACCTGGCTGAATCAGGCCCAGCAAGTGCCTTCTGCCAAGGCCACGAGATGTTTGCAGAGCACATCAGTCTCTCAGGATGTTTTCCCTAAGAAGGAATGTGTTCTCATTCCACATTCCCCAGTCCCTAATGTTGGCACAGCAGCTGCCAGTTTGTTTGTGGTCAAGTCCACTCACGGGGTAGCTGGCTCGGTTCTTGGCTGCAACCTCCCCTCTCCTGGACAGGCTGCTCTGGTGAGCAGGGAGGAGCTGTGACCCTCTCTCTCTCCACAGCTGGCTCTCTACACGGAGAAGTTTGAAGAATTCCAGAACACCCTTTCCAAAAGCAGTGAAGTGTTCACAACATTTAAGCAGGAGATGGAGAAGGTGGGTAACACTTGGCTGCCCAGCAGAGCTTGCCTGGGCTGGGGACACTCCCTGCCTGTCTCTCCCTGATGCTTCTGCCAGACAGAAGAGCTGCAGCTCTGGAGTTTTGTTTAGTTTTGCTGGTATTAAAATCAGCCACAAGCTTGGCTGCCTCCAGGAGACTGACACTGTCCTTGTGTGGTGACTTCAGTGTCCCACCAGTGTCAGCACAAGCAGCACTACCCCTTCTCCTGGTTTGGTGTTCCCTGGTGGGTGTTTCCCTCTGGTGAAGCTGATCCAAGGGGATGTTTCCCTGCCTCTGGTGGGAAAACAGTGCCTGTTTGAGGACACGTGAGATGTAACTGCCTGCAGCTCTCTGCCTCTGCCTTATTTGTTCCCTTTTTTGTCACTGTCACTCTGTAGATGACTAAGAAGATCAAGAAGCTGGAGAAGGAGACCACGATGTACCGCTCTCGCTGGGAGAGCAGCAACAAAGCTCTCCTGGAGATGGCTGAAGAGGTGAGGAGGCTCTGGCTGTGCCCTGCAGAGGCAGGTGATGAGCTGCATGGTGTCAGGCTGGAGCTGAGGGACAGCAGAACAACTCCAGCCTCATTGCAGACTGAGGGGTTTATCCTTTCAGCTCCGTTTCCTTCCCTGAGACGATGGTGGGAGCTCTGTCAGGTGGGAGAAGGGAGAGATGAGTGCAGGGGTGTGTGGGGGGAGTTGGTCTCAGCCTTGGCCTCAGTGTTGGTGGGAGCTCCTGGAGGATGTTCAGAGGAGGCCATAAAAATGATCCAAGGGCTGGAGCAGCTCAGCTCTGGAGACAGGCTGGGAGACCAGGGGGACCTTAGAGTGCCTGAAGGGGCTCCAGGAAAGCTGAGGAGGGACTTTGGACAAAGACAGGGAGGGATGGGATGAAGGGAATGGCTCTAATCTGGAAGAGGGGAGATTGAGGTTGGACATGAGGAGGAAATTCCTGAGTGTGAGGGTGGTGAGAGCCTGGCCCAGGTTGCCCAGGGAAGCTGTGGCTGCCCCATCCCTGGCAGTGTTGAAGGGCAGGTTGGATGGGGCTTGGAGCAGCCTGGGCTGGTGGGAGGTGTCCCTGCCTGTACAGGGGGTTGGAACTGGATGAACTTTAAGGTCCCTTCCCACCCAGACCATTCCATGATGCTACGATGATAACACTGGATCCTTTGAATGCCAAACATTTGCTTGGTCACGAGTATTGAGCTTCCACCTGAGGTTTCCTCTCGCTCTGTGGTAGAGCCTGAACAACTTCTCTGTTTGCAGAAAACCCTTCGGGACAAGGAGCTGGAGGGGCTGCAGGTGAAGATCCAGCGGCTGGAGAAGCTGTGCCGGGCGCTGCAGACGGAGCGGAACGACCTCAACAAGAAGGTGCAGGATCTGTGTGCCCACCCGCCCCGCCTGGACCCCGACCTGCTGGAGCCCCTGAGGGACCCAGCCCGGGAGGGCTCGGAGGCACAGGGAGCTGCTCCAGCTGAGGATTTCCTGCACCTGGGAAAGCCAAGGCCCAGCACGGATCCTGCAGAGAGCCTGGGAGAACTGAGCATAGGAGCCTTGGGGCAGAGCGGGACTGAGGAGGGCTCGGGGGGCACAGACTGAGCCCCCAGGCACAGGCAGAGGTGGGCGAGGGAGGATGTTTCTGTAGACTCCATCTGATGCTCCTCTCCTGGTCCTTGGATGGGCACCAGAGGACAGCCCTCCTGGGGACCAAGAGATTTCCTAGCTTAGGTTTTTTGGAGCGTTTTTTTTTTAAATTTTATATATGTATATATATATATGATATATATATGATATATAAAATGTGCAGGGCAACACTTTATATATGGATATACATGGATGACCCACCTCCCTGCGTGTGCGTGAATAACTAATATATGGAGATCCCACCCGTGGTCCCTGGCACTAAAAGACCTTGTCCCTGGCAGGCTCCCCACATCCCCAGCTCGGGAAGTGGGCGCTGGATCCGCCCGGGCTCTGGGACAGCTGGATGTGTCACCTCCACCACCAGTGAGAGCAAAGGAGCAGAGTGGGGGGGGATCTGAGGGGATCTGAAGTTTCCCGGCTGGATTCTCCCTCCCTCCCCCTTCTGCCTCAGGCAGGAGGGAACTCCAGGACTTGCTGTTGTGTTCCATGCCCTGGCTGGCAGCTCCAACTGGGGCCACAGAGAGGCCTGTCCCCTCCTCTGTGGGTTTTGTGTATTGAGCAGGGACAAAAAAGCAGCAGAGGAAGAAGGGGGGGGGTTCCCTGGTTCCCCCCAACCTCCCCTGGGACCTCTGCTCTTTCCAGAACCTGCTGGTGTCTCAGTAGCCTTATGATTCACAGTTGCCTCTTTGCTATACGCACATGTGCACAAGTGTATTAAACAGTTAATCCAAAGGTCGAATTCCCAAGTGTTTTGCACAAGTGGGTGTGATCAGTTGTGCAAGGGGACTGGGAGGTTCCACCCCAGCTTCTCTGGCCCCACATCAGGACCTTCCCAGCCTGTCAGGGCCAAACAGGTGGTCCCAGAGGCATCCACGGAGCTGGGGTTCCAGGGGGATAAAAGCTGTGGCTGTTCCAGGGATGTCAGACCCTGCTGGTCCTTCCTCAGCTCTCCCTTTGCTCCTTTCCCTCTTCCTCTGAAGGATGAAGTGCTTTCCTGAAGGACCCTGCTGTGCTGGGCAGGTCCATGGGCAGATGTGGGGGCTGCTGGCACTGGGCCCTGGGGATTCCTCCTTCGTTTCTCCAGACTCTTTGCTACCCTGAGACCTCTGCTTGCTGAGGACCCTCCTTCCTGCAGCTTCTCTTGACAGACTTTCCAGCTTTGCTCTCCTGTGGCTGGAAGCTGAGGCGAGTTGGAGGTTCCTGGCAGTGGGTGTGTTGGGTGGTGTCACGGGCCGGTACCGCGGGCTCCCGGCTGTCAGGATGTTTTTGCAACTTCCCCCCCCAGTGGGGAGAGGTTTATTAAAAAGCCTGAGCTCCCACCTCTCCCAGAGGAACGGCCGCTGAGGGTTCATTTCTAAGAGGGTAGATTAAAGCACCT